AGGAGGCCGTTTCTATCCTTGGTCTGAAAAGCCCCAGAAGGACGAGCTGCCCCGTCAGTTGTGTAACACCCGTGTCCTGCCCGGCCCCTGGGCTTGGTGTGTAACAGTGCTGGTGCCTCGAGGCAGCAGAGTGGGGGCTGGAAAGGGGGGGTTTGGCCTCTCAGCGGTGTTTAGGTTTGTTTTTCACAGAGCAGATGGGGTGGCAGCTCACCCTGCAGAGCTGTAGGCTGGTGTTTGCCTGGACTCTGTGCCCTCAGGAGGAGGGACCCTGACTTTGGCCTGGCTGTGTGAAGCTTAAGGGCAGATTTTGTAGCTGTTAATGAAAATGGCAAAAAGCGTCAGAGCCTCAACTATCCCCTTCCCAAGCCAAGAAACAAAGGTCAGGCCAGGCGGGAGCACATGCCGTGTGGGACAGTGGGGCTCTGCTCAGGCTGGTCTGCCCCAAGGGTGTCCAGGCTGTTTACACCCCGGGGACTCCTCCCTCAGAGGTTGTTTGCAGTTGGAAGGTGACTCTGGAGAACGTTATCTGGTCTCTCTGCCTTCCCTGCTGTTCTGCTGGGTCAGATACTGCTGCTGTGCCTGGGAGGCGCCGGGGGAGGCTCCGGCTCAGCTCTGTGGGGAATGTCTGGCCTTTGGGAACTGATTCCAGTCTGCAGCCTGGCGCTCTTTGGAAAATGTGTGAGCAGCCCCGATCGATTCCAGTGGGTTGCTGCTGCCTGTGCTCCTGTGCCTTGGGCTCAGCAGGCGCTTTCCCCAGCCCGGAGAGCCTGGGACTGGGATTGCCTGCTCAGCTTTCTGGTGGGAACAGAGGGAACATTAATCTCATGGGAACGCAAATGGTACTCACTGTTGCTGCTACTTGCTCTGGAGTCTTTTAACCTGCCTGAACTGCACGAGGTACCCTCTAACTCAGAGCAAATAACCTTGCACAGCTTATTTTGTCAGAGTACAGTAATCACCTTGTAGCTGTAAAACCCTTGATCTTTACCAGCTCCTGCTTTAATTCGGGCTGCAGTTGGAATGGACAGGCTTGTACAAGTGCTGTGGGCAGTTCCAGGACTTGTCAGAACAAGGAGTGTTTGATCACAAGCCTGTGGTGTGAAAAGTCCCCCACGGCACACAGGTCATTGGTCCTGGGGGTGGAACCCAGGGTGTGAGAGAGCTGCTCACAGCTGATACCCCTGTCCTGTACATCTCTGGGGACCCCTGGACCTCCCACTTATTTAAAATCAGTGTCAGCCTTCTCCCGAGAGCGTCTTGGCTGCATATGAGGGTCCTTTCTCTTTCAGGGATGCCTCTTCTTCAAGACTCTCAAAGCTTTAGTATGTAAAGCTAATTTTTCCTTTGAGAAACGTGGAATTGATTTATTTAGGAGTCAAGCTTAGCTTACAAACTGACTCTTATTTTTCTTCAGTTTGAGCAAACTTAGGTTTGTGACACTGATTTGTTTCTGCTCCCACAAAAACGGTCCTAGAATTTCCTGTTAAAACATTTTCAGGCGTACAAAAAAAAAAAACCTCTCCCAAAGCCACCTCCTCTGTGCTTGTACGTCATGGTGCATCAGTGGAGGGTTCTGTATGATCGTGAAGTGCTTTTAACTGAGAGAATTAATTCCTGGAAGGCTCTTGGTGTGCGGGGCCACCCATTAGTGCAGGAAGGACGTGTCCAAAGCTGAGCTGCTTCTGAGACCTGGCTTAGGGTGAGTCACGTAGTGACCTCGACCTGGGCCTGATGGCTTTTCCCGAAGCAGAGCCGCTGAACCTCCCTTCCTGCCCACCCTGGGAGGGGCTCCCTGGGCTGTGGGTGCAGCCCTGTGCCTGCCCTGGAGCCCGAAGACATTTGGCAACTTCACTTCCCTCAGCACACGGACCGACCTTTGGACTGGCTGATTGCAGTGCTGAACCTCCCCTGGCCTCTGGCTGCAAGGGCAGAGTGAAAAATACCTGAATTGCAGCCTGCAGCTGCTGCCTGTGCCTCTGATCTGTTTATTGCTGGTTCAGTTCTGCAGGCTGGTCTTGCCTGAGATGAAAAGTCTGATTTCACTGTTTGTATGACAACAAACTTACACGTTTCCCCACCTGGCTCAGGACGTCTTGCAGACTGCGAGACCTTCCTCCTCCCCCCAAAAAGTTGTTAGCTCAGTACTGTGCTTAGAAGTTCCTGCCAGGCGCCTTGGTGAGCAGAGGGATGGAACAAGGCTGTGAGCAGGCGGAGGGTGGTGAGGGGCTGGTACGTGTGGCTGTGCACCACAGCCAGGGGGGCCTGGGCCCCAGCCAGCTCCCAGCTATGGTCAGCCAGCCTTGGGGCTGTGCAGGGAGGGGGAACGGGCATGTTCCTCTCGGGGGGTGGAGGCACAGGGAAGCACTTTTCCCAATTTACCCAAACTGACTCGGAGGGGCTCAGTCTGTGCTCTGGCACTGCCACCCTCTCTGCAGCGGGACACGTGTTGGGGTCCCACCACCTCGCTGCCCCCCCCCAGCCTTTCGTGGTGACGTGACCAGAGCACAGGCTGGGCACTGTGGAGCTGCATGAGCCCTCACAACAAAAGCCTGGAACTGCAGGCACTGGGGGCCGTGGAGCATTGTTGGTCTGCCCCAGAGGCACGGCCGTCCGTGGGTGTCCAGTTTGGATGGTGGCAAACCCAGAGTGCTGTTTTGTCTGTGCTGGTTTTGCAGCGGAGCCGCAGGAGATACGAAGTGAACAGCCCTGTCTGAGCCAGGCAGAGTTCAGAGCGTGGAGGGAGGGAGGGCAGAGTGAGCTGATCTGGAGATGATGTGCAGCCTCTTCTCAATCGCTGAGGGTTATTTTTGCTTGTAGAAGGTGAATTCTTGCTTTGCACTAACACTTTGCACTAATACCTCTTCAACTCATAGCTGGTTTTATAAAGTCACCGCTGTCTCAAAAGAGACTGACTCAGGACAGCGTGGAGTTGTACTGCGAGGCGATTGGCAATCCCATCCCCGAGATCCAGTGGTGGTTTGAGGGGAACGATCCCAATGAGACCTATGCTCAGCTCTGGGATGGCGCACGGCAGGACCGTGTCAAAATCAACGCCACCTACAACCTGCACTCTACCAGTACCATCTACATCGCAAACCTCACCAGTGACGACTCAGGCATGTATGAGTGCCGGGCTAGCAACGACCCCGACCGCAACCACTTGTCGAAGAGCCCCAAAGTCAAGTGGATCCGTTCCCAGGCGAACGTTTTTGTCATCGAACGTGAGTGGCCACGTCGAGGCCTTGGCACTTGCTCGGACACTGGTGTCTTGAGTCTCCTGCCATGCTCACCCCCGCACCCGTGTCCTGTGGCTCCCAAAAGCTCCCTCACCCTCCCACCCCCCGCTGTAGAACTGAGAGACTCCCACCCTCTGTCGACTCCCCACCACCTGTGACTTGACCCGAAATGGCCCTGCTCAAAAAGGGTTGTGGCTTCCCAACCAATTCGCCCTCCGGCAATCCTGCGCCTTTTCCGGAGCCAAAGACCTGGAACCTGCCGCTTCCCCCCGAGCGCCTCCGAGCCCTGGTGCTGCCGCAGAATTGAGCCTCGATTCTGTGGTCGACTCTGCCCTAACACCACTGACCAGCGGCCCTTTCCTGCGGCTCCTGCAGCTCCCGCTCCTCTCAGCAGCCCTGCTTTGAGCTCGCTTCTGTGCCGGTGACCCAGGCTGTGGGGAACAAAACCTGCTTTGAGGTCTGAGATGCAACCATTTTTGAAATGGCCGTGTCTGTGTGACACTGAGTGTGATGTCGTTGCTTGTCCTGTGGACGTGGCCGGGTTCCCTCTCGCTGGAGCGCACAGACTGCTCCGAGTGATAGAAACCTGGGAGGGAGCTTAACATCCCGGTGAGGTCTTCCCATGAGTTAGATGGGCATAGCTGCCTTCTCAGCAGAAATGTGCTGGGGAATGCAGAACTCCAGCAGAACCTTTCTTCCAGTGGAGTTTGGATAGGAGGAAAAGCGAAGTGCCTGTCAACCCCGGCAAAAACTCTTCCTTCCCAGGGATGGAGGTTGGGCAGAAGGGTAGGGACCGTAGTGCCACCAGGGCTGTGTAATGGTGCTGCTGGTGGCAGCTGCCTTCTCGGACAGCCTCCTCAGAGTAGAAATGCCTGAGTCATCTTATGTTGCATAATTTACTGCTGCCTGGCACATGGAGGCCCAGGACCTTTTGGAGTCACGGCTCTGTGTTCTCCCTGGAGTAATTCTGACTAAACCCTTTGGGTTGCCTCAGATGAAGCACAGATATTGCTGCCCCCCTGATATTGTCTGCTGCCCCTTGCAACAGAGGGTCCTGACTGCCCTCTGTGTTACCTGGAGGTGTCTGAAGCTGCTCAGGTGGCAGGAGGTGTTGACACACGAGTGCTCTGGTGGCTCGCAGCAGCACAGAGCTGTGCTCTGCCCTTCAGAGTGACCTTTTCCATTGCTTATTGAGCACTGGGCTCTGCTGGGGCTGCACCCACGGTAGCAACAGTAGAGGCTCCGAGTGATGCAGGACACAGAGAGGTCCTGCTGGTAGGGGAGCAGCTGCAGGGTCAGCGTTGCTGTCCCAGGTGCACTAAGGCCCAGTCACCTGGTGCTGGGGGCTGCCTGCTGCTGGCACTGTCAGGGCTGGTAGGGAACTCTCTATGAAGGTAAGTGGAAGCTGGGATAGACAAGGAGCTGTGGGGTTTGTGTTGCAGGTTCTTGGGCCCCACGTCAGCTCTGCCATACCCTGTGTTAACTTAAATCCAATTCTTTACGAATGCAGGTCCGGACATCAAGGCTCACGTTGCTGTGGATTCTGGCAAGCTGGTCCTCACCTGTAACATGTCTGGGCCATACTCCACCATCAAGGGCCACGAGTGGATGCATGGGGACAAGGTCCTGCAAAAGGATGAGACCGACAGTGCTTTCACCAGCTACACGTGAGTGTCAGGGCAAGGTCAGAACCTGAGCATGGACGTGGTTTTCTCCCAGAGGCAGTTGGTGTTTGCTGTCAGCTGGACCCAGGGCTGAGTGCTCATAGCCCTGCTGATGACAGGCCTTTGGGACTGTAGAGCATAAGATGAGCTGGACAGAGTTTTGGTAAGGCCCAACACTCTCCTTTATGGGGAGGAGGGGGCAAAAAGGAGGAGGAAGGGATGGTTTTATGCCACAAATATCCTCGTAGAGCAGTTCTGCTGTTCGTGTTTGTAAGCAGGTGTTCAGCTGGGCTCTGGTTTGTCGGGCACAGCATGCTGGGCCTGGTCATTGTGCCAGAGCTGTTCCCTCAGAGCTCTGAAGTGAGAGGCTCCAGTGCATGTTGTCCCTTTCCAGAGTCCAGCTGTTCTCCCAGGAGCTGGGTGGCTGCAGCGAGCCATGGTCCATGCTCGGTGTGAGAACACCGGCCGTGTTGTGGCAGTGCAGTGAGCTTTCCTTTCCCATTACAGTCAGGCCTGGCTGGCACTGACCCAGCAGCTGTGGAGGCATCATGTCCCTTTGTATGGCAGTGCCGACGTGCCTGTCTCCCCATAGCAACAGGGAGCTGAACAAGGATTAAAGTATTTATAACCCAGCCTCCCTCGCGTGACCTCAATTCCTCAGCTGAGTGGTTTTTGGAAGTGGGAAGCGCCATGCACAGCAGAACTAACAAACAGCCCGTTGTCCCAGTGCAGCCACGGGACAAACTCTGTGGGCCCCTTCCCTCGAGTGGGTATTACTGAGCAGCAGAATGGGATGTTTGTTGCGGGGCTGCGTAATCCACTAAATCTCATTGCAGCAGCTTTACGGGAAGGAGAATGGGAGAGTTCTCCCTGTGCTGGGATTGATCCAGAGTAGCCCAGCCTGGATAATCTTTGCCACTGCTTTGCCCTGTGTTTCAGTGGGCTGGAACAGTGATCTCTGACTCGACAGACCCGTGTCAGATGTGGTGCACATGAAAAAGCCTCTTCTGTCATCCTCTGTGTGTGGGGAGGGGAGAGTGGAGAGTTGGGTTGCTGTAGGTACATGGTGTGCAGCATAAATGCTCTTCTGGAAAGGGAGAAATTTGCTATAGAGGAGGTTGCTGATTCCATGTCTGATTCCATGGCTCTGGAGGTCGGTGTCTGTGGGTCAGTCAGTTGTGCTGGATGCTTACCTGGATGCTGTTTTTGGTAGGATTGAGGGGAAGATGGAGGAGCACTCTGGCATGTATGAGTGTGTCTACAAAACCAACCCGGAGATAAGAGGACAAGTGAATATTTCAGGTAACTTCATGTGTTTGCTTCTGGGTCTGAGGAGGGGCTTGGGGGAGCTGTGATCTCCTGAGCACTTTGCTGTGGTGTCTTTTCAGCTTCTTGAGAGGCTGCTCCCAGCCCTTACCTGGCTGCAGGGCTCTGAATGCACCCTGTGAGGCAGCACCGTGTTCTCAGGCAATGCTGTGTCTGCAGGGTCTGCTCTTAGATCCTGCGTTCCCGTGGGCATGTTCCCACAGGGAAACTGGGAGGAGGATGGTACCTGGTGGACAAATCTGTCTGAGCCTTTCTTGAAGCAGTTTGATTTGCTTTCCCCTCTGAAAATGCCAAAGTAGAGAGAGGAACAGCCTTACTGAGGTCAAGCTTTGGGGTAACTGCCTGATTCTGGTGAGGTGTTGCAGAGAGCACAAATCTATGTGATTTCTATAACAAGGTGTTTGAATTTCTTGTTCTCTTGCTGTAGTTGCCCCCCAGGTGACAGCATACAAGAAGTCTGAGCATGGCAACGAGGGGGACACAGGTGTGCTGACCTGCAAGAATCCCTCTTTCCCCCCTGTCACCACTTGGTCCTGGTACAAGAATGGTCAAGGGGTAAGTGCTTTGGTTTGCTCCCTCCTCCCCTTCTGCCAACCCTGCTGCCCAGCACAGAGCTGGGGGACCTTGTGCCATCAGAACTGAGCCTTTCAAAGCTCAGTGCCCCAGGAGGGAGGATTTCTGTGGGGGTTGGACTGAGCGTGGTCAGTCTCAGCGCTGCCCTCAGAGCTCTCTTGTCCCTCCTCCTCCCTCCAGGACCTGAAGAACGCCTCTGGGCGATACATCATCAAGTCCAGCGGCAACAAGACAGAGCTGCGCATCCTCAAACTGAACATCGAGGAGGACACGGGTGACTATCGCTGCAATGCCACCAACTCCTACGGCTCCGGGGACGCCACCGTGAACCTGCGCGTCCGCAGCCGCCTGGCAGCGCTCTGGCCTTTCCTGGGCATCGTGGCAGAAGTCCTCGTTCTCGTCACCATCATCTTCATCTATGAGAAGAGGAGGAAGCCAGACGAGGTTCTTGATGGTAAGAGGTGCCTGGGTTTAAGTCTCTCGGGGGAGATCAGGTAACTTGTTGGGTGTCGAGATGGGCTCGCGGGGAACTCTGAGGTCCCCCTGTCAGAGGGGGTTGGTTTGAGGGTGGGTACTCGGAGCACTTGTGAAACAATGGCAGTCTGTACCGTGCCACCTCAGACACGAAACTGCCTGTAACTGTGCTGTTTCTGTAGTGAGATGGAGCAAGAGAGGATTCGGTGCAGGTCAGCCTGACCCTTTGCCTCACCAGTACCTCTGCTCTTTGCTCAAGTATTTCCTGTGTCTGCAGGGCTGGGTTTGCTTTGGCAGCTCCCAGTCTGGAGAGGGTGGTTTGGAAATAAGAAGTAGAGCTTTTGTGGTGCTGTAAAACTGTGGGACTGTAGCTCAGCAAGACCAGGCTTAGCTTGTGTTCAACTCAGAATGTTTTGGGTCATCAGATCAAGACATCCTGGATCTCAAAGCCCGGTACTATCTTTAATCTTTTCTGGAAGCACCAGCTCCTCCCTTTCCTTATCTGTGAGGATCTGCATTGTGTCAGCTGGGTCGCCCTTATCTGATCCCGTTAACAATGCAGTGGGAATGCTCTGTATCCTTCCTGCCCCGGATCCTGCTGGGCCCCTCAGCCCCCTAAGGCTAAAGCCTGATATCCGTGTTCTGACTGCAGGGCAGGGCTTGGAATTCCACTCAAGGCAGTTTTACAAGCAGATGTTTTGCCCTCTGACACCCCTGGCTGGAAGGCAGGTGTCCTCTTAAGGATGTTGTAGCTGCATCTTCCAAGTGGTTCTTTCTCCCCAGAAGTCCCTGTAGCTTTGCCCCTCCTTAGAGGAGGTGACAGTGAGGCCTGTCTGACCCAGTTCCTCCCAGTACTGGCTGAGAACTGAACACTCCTGTCACCTGGGTTGGGATGGGGACAGTCCAGCCTGTGTTTGGTGTGATATTCTTGCTGGTGTTACCTGTCCACTCTTCCCTTCTCTGCTGCTGGGTGCCACCTCACATGGTAAGTAGAAGGTAGTTCCAGCCACGTGTCTCCCTCTGTCCTCTCACCAGCTGTGAGCAGATCCTGGTGCCCAGGGCAGTCCCAGTGCCTGGACTGTGGGGCTTGGGGTCACTTGAGGGGAGCCAGAGCTGTAGAAGAGGCAATGGGGAGCAGAAGAAATGTCTGGGAGCCTCCTGTTGGGAGGTGGCAGATGGCAGGGAGCTGGTGAAAGGCCGCAGGGCTTGGCACGTGTTGGCAGAGGTGTTTCCTTAGCTGTGCTGCTCGGTGGAGCCAGAACGTGGTGTGCAGTGTTTGTTTTGATATCACAACATGTGGGAAGGGAAAAGGGCTTCCTGCTGCTGCTTAAAGCCCCCTGTTCCTGAAACATCCTGTTTGGTTTCCCCTTTACCTGCTGTGAGTGTGCTCAGATTTGGGAGCCATCCCAAGTCCTGGGGCTGTGGGGGCGGGTGCAGATGGGTCGGGGCAGCGCTGCCGCCTCACCAGAGAAGCTGTGGCTCTTTCCCATTTTTAAATGGTGGTGGGAGTGCTGCCTGGAACACAGTCCCCAGTGCTTTAAGAGGAGGCAGAGGTCACTTTGTACATGCTTTTCCCTGACGCTGTTTGTTCTTTCTTTCCGTGCTGTCCCGAATGTGAAGATGATGATGGAGGCTCTGCACCACTGTGAGTACCTTTCCTCTTCCTATTTAGCCAGATTTGTGCTGACAGATCTCATCCAGCCAGGGAATCTGCTCTGAAAATAAAAACTGGCTGGTGTGGGACGACACTCGGCGTGCTGGGTGGGAATTGTCTCCCCATGGTTCACTAAATGTCCCTGTGTGTAAAACACACGTACCTGGGGTGGCATCAGTGCCTGACACTGCTCTGGGAACTGATCTCCTGCCTGAGCTGCACCATCTCTTTGGACCTGAATTACATTAGTGGGCTGGGGAGGGGGGGCTTTCTGCTCTCCCTTTCCTGATGTCTGCCCTTTCTTCCTTCCCAGGAAGAGCAATGCCACAAACCACAAGGACAAGAACGTCCGCCAGAGAAATGCAAACTAGGAGTGGGGCCAGGTGAGTGCCAGGCCTGGGGGCAGAGCCACACCTGGGGGTGAGAGCTGCAGTGTCTGTGTCTGCAGAGGGTCTCTGGGAGAAGCTGAAGCATCTGTGGGGCCAGAGGCTCTTCTGGCCCAGCAAGGGCTCCACCAGCTCCCTCTAGCACAGTGCAGCCCTACTGGTGCAACTGGATTATCTAACTGGCTTTTCTTTCTCTCCTGCCAGGTGATGTGTAGATGAAGAACTCGTCTGGACAATTTTGGTTTCTTCTATTTTTTTTTGGTAAAATAGCACCATGGAATATTCTAGTGCGTCCTTGAGATTCAGTTACTTCACTTTCTAAAGAAACTTTAAGTTGTAGAATCTAAAATACACTTCTTTTTTTTAAAGAGTCATGGGAGGGTTTTTCTACCTGTAAATGTAAATCCCCTGTTCCTGATAGTCTAGGTCCCTGGCTGTCTCTGTCCTGGGTTTCTTTGTGTTGGTGCACAGTGGGGGGGGTGGGAGCTGCCTGTGTCCCACCTGCATGTGGGGGTGAGGGAGGAGCTGCTTTGGTGCCTGTCAGGAGATGACACGATCTGACCAGAGGATTCAGGAGGGGAGTTCTGTGTTTTTCCCAGTGCATCACCTGGAGCAAGGCTGCACCTTTCCCTGGCAAAGGGCACGTTCCTGGCCAGACAGATTCCCAGTTAGCCCCTCCTGAGCTTTTGGTTCCTCTGAAACAGGCAGCCAGGAGCAGTTAGAGCTGGACACTGGATAAGTGATTGCTGTAACTTATTCCATGGGTGGTTCATGTCTCTGCCATGGGGATGGGGCAGGGTGAGCTGGGGCTGGGGGTGGTTTAAGTTTTAACAGTGTGTGCTTGTGCTTGAGCCATCGCAGTGTGTGTGTGACATGGGGGCTTATGAGCAGATGAGTGCTCAGGGGAGTCTAACACCTTTACTGCTGGGTAGCATTGAACTGTTCCATCTGTTAACACTTCACAAATAAAGATGATTCCTCTCTCTTTTTTCCACCTCTGGACTCTGGTCTCTTCCCTCTGGGCTGCCTGACCCTCTGGCTGCAAAACACGATGCCGTGTCTCAGTTTGGTGCCAGCTCTGGCTGCCTTCTAATTGCTGAGGATTTGCAGCTTGACGGGTGTAAAGGGCCTCCCTGGAGGGAGGGAGGGAGTGGTACTCCCTGCTCTGCAGAGCCCCGAGGAGCACTGGGCCCTGGGCACACTTTGCCCTGCTCTGCAGTTCCTCAGGCCTTGTGGCTGGGGGGTCAAGGATCAGCCCCCAGGAGCCCTCAGGACATGCTACTTGTGTGTCTTGTGCTTCTCTAAGCAGGTTTTTTTCCTGCTCTTTCTGGGGCAGGAGAGCAAAAGTGTGAAACTTTTGTGCACGGAGCAGGGCCTGGGGGAGAGGACTGAGGATTCCTTCTTGCTGCCAGCCTTGAGCTCAGGGGGCTTTTTGCCGGCATTCCTGCCCCTGGAGTGAGGCAGTGAAGGCCATGGGCTGAAGGGAAGCTGCCATGTGCTCCCAGCTGGCCTAAGGTAACTCTGCCTGCTCTGCTCCTGGCAGTTGACTGAACCATGTCCTTGCTCTGTAGCCGGACACTTCTTCCTTTTAAGGACCTGGGAAGGGCCAAGGGGAGAGTGTGGCTCTGACAGCTACACTGTGCCCAGAGAGCTGCTGGCAGCAGTGTGCGGTGGCAGGTCTGGTAGCAGTGCTGGCAGCTTGGAGCTGTGGTGGCTGGGTCCCTCCTGTCAGTGCTTCTGCCTGGCTGTGCCATCAGCTGGCCTTGGGCTGTGCGGGCAGCAGGGCTCTGCAGCCTGTAAGTGGGTTATGCAAGGCTTTCACAGCCGGCCTCGTGCTATCCTGGTGAAAAATCAATGCATGGCTTAATTTTCCTTGATGAGGATTATGGGCCCTGCCTGACCCAGCTCTCGGCCACAGCACAAAGAACCACTTGTGCCTTTTGTTTGACTGGGCAGGGACAGGGGGGACAACAGCCCTGGGAGCTGGGCAGGGGATGGAGTGGAATAGTGCTGCTCTCTGCTGGGCCTGTGGCAGCTGCCCCAGTGAGCCGAGGCACAGCCCTGCCACGAGGAACCCTGCACAGGGATGGCACCAGCAGGCCTTGGCTGCCCCTTTCTGCCCTGGGGAGAGAGTTGGTGCTCTGGGCACTGCGGGGACCCCGCTCAGCCCCTGACGCCTTGGCTCCAGCATCTCCAGCCTCCCGTTCAGGTTAAGCTGCAGCATCGACCTCTCCTCTGTGGGCCGGGGGCAGCTGAAGAGCTGCAGTGCTGTTCCCCGGGGCTGCTTTGGAGGAATGGGCTGTTCTCGAAGGCAGCCGTGCCGAGCCCGGGGAGTGACGTTGCAGAACGGGGCCGCCGTGGTCCGAAGCGCAGCTTTTGGGGTGTCTCCGCCCGTGTGGTCCGTGCAGGGGCTGCGGCTGCCGCTCCCCGCCCCGGGCACGGCGCTGGCTCCGCCGCGGCGGGGGACGCGGTGCCCGGTGCGGTTTCTGTCCCGCGGCACCAGGTGGTGCCACCGCCGCGGCCTCGCTGCTCGCGCGGCTCCGACACCCGACGGGGCTCGCCCAGAGCCGCGGCCCCAGGGCGGGGCGGCCCCGGTCCCGTGTCCGGCTGCTCGGGGGCGCTCGGAGCTCACCCGGGCTCCTCGCTCCGGCGTGCCCGGGGGAGCCGCAGCGGGACAAGCACGTTCCCGGAGCAGAGGGCAGGAGGTGCTGGTCCCTATGCCCTGTTCCCTACGCCCAGGACATCGGCCTCGTTGGCGGGTGTCCGCCGCGGTGGGGTCCAGCCGCGGCTGCTGGCCCTGTCCCGGGGTGTCGGACCGGGGTCTTCATCCCTCGGCGTACCCCGGGGGTTCCTGCTGCCCATGGGCTCGGTGCAGGGGGCTCAGCGCTGGACACCAGGGGCTGTGGGAGGGCAAAGCCCCCGTGCCTAGTGCGGAGGTGGTGTCCATCCCTGCCCCAGGGGTGGGAGGGCAGCACTCCCTCCCCGGCGGGGCGGTTGGGCCGGCGGCTGCAGAGCCCCGCGGGGGGAGCGCCCGGCCCCACACCGGGGTCTGTGCTGCCGCGGTCCGGGGCCGTCGGGGCTCAAGGCGGACGGCCCGTCCCGGTAGCCGGTCCCGCCGGCGAGCGCTGTACCGGAGGGGGGAGCTGCGGAGCCGCCCGGTCCCCGGCCCGGCCCCG